AGCAACTTCAAGAAGGAAGGATTTATTTGCCCCACAGTTAGCAAAAGCATGGTTCGGCATGTTCAGCATGGTGGTGAGGCAGCAGGACTGGGACGCCTTATATCCACAAACCATAAAGCAGGGAGCCCTTTCTTGACATCAAAGTTGACTATAACCTTCACCTCCTCCACACAATGACCCACGTCTAGTTAGGCTCTATTTCCGGAAGTTTCACAGCGTGCCAAGAAGCGCTTCCACCCAACAAGCAACCATTCGGACACCCAAGCCCAAGAGGCCCACTTCACACTGCAACCACGTCAGTATTATTAAGTAAAGAGTGTCTTTTTAGGTGTTAACTATGCTTTGATACAGATGGCTATTTCAGAGCCATGTTTAATTGATGTTTCAAGGCTCAACTTGGCACATGGCGATGATTATACCTTCCAAACACTGTCCATACTTGCACACCTACGGACTGAGTTATCAAGACGTCTGAAGGACACAGTCCAGAAGCCCTCAGTGGTAGTTCCTATGCAAGCTCCACTCCTCCAGCGCAGCACACTAGGTATTGGCCCACATGGAGACCTATAAGACAGTTATCTTGATAACTCCATGAGAAGAAACAGTGCCAGGGAGAGGTTCACTTACTTGTCCAAGATCACACAGCGAGGAGAAAGCACAACGAATTGATGTCCTCTGCCTCCCTTGCAGTATCAAGGAACAGTACCCCACTCGCCATTGTTAAGAACATCTGTCGATATATACCTGATGTCTGCCGAGGACCAATTATATGCCAGGCAGGCATCAGGAAGGAAGAGGAAGGACTTTAAAGAGCTCAAGCTTGAACTGAAGGGTTTTTGTTTTCAAGCAAATGTAGGAGCCATGGAAAAGAAAAAGGCCATGGCCCAATGTGATATTTTCCTGGACAGGATAGGGTGTTATCCTGGTGGCAGCAAACTTAAGTAACAAGGTGGACTCTTAGAAGCACCAAACTCTCAAACTCCTTTCTTCTAAATAATCACAGAATAGTTGTTTGAATCTAGAGTATGTGAAACATTGCGCACATTTCCTTCACTGGTATCCAGTCGTTAATGTTACAGTGTGGCACACTGTTGCCAGGGCGGACACTTAGTGTTCTCAGATGTGTGTTCCTTACATTTTCTTCCCGACCTTACCACATGTGGTCATTACCTCCGAAGAGGCACACCTCTGCCAGTCTAAAGTGGCGCAGAGGGTTAATTAATAACCAAATTCTAATTCTCTGCTTCCGTCGACAAGGAGGAGCCATTCGCTCTCCAGGCTAGAAGGCACTGACTTATGTCATCTTATCTCCTTTCCTGATGCTTGCTTAGAAACAACGGAGGGTAGATAACTGCACAGGAAACTCATCCAGTCTCGAAACGGAGCCTAGGACCAAGCTGGGAGGCCAACAAGAAAAGGATTATCTATCTCAAAGGGGGAACCAGATGATCACACAGCTCTACAGTATTCCAGGTTTAGACTCAGGATTCCATGGAAATTATTTTGGTTAATCTTCACAATAACTCTGATAAAATGACTCACTCTACTCTCCACTTGATAAATAAGAAAAATTAGGCCCAACTCCACACACACACACACACACACACACACACACACACACGTGTGGCAGAACTAGAATTGGAACACAGTCCAGAATCCAGTCTGCTTTTAATCACAGGCCCAGGATAAGCGATGAAAACACCCTTGGGGCCAAGCAAGTGAAGAGGATGTTTGAAGTAGCTTAGCCTTAAGATTAGAAAGCCAAGGCTCTTAACCATAGCTGCCTTTGGAATCACCTAGGGAGCCTTAAAGGCGGTTGGTTGAAGCCTGGGTTCCGCCCCCACAGATGTGATTTAATTGATATGGGAGCTGCTGCGAGGTGCTCTAAACGGGCAGTCTAGCCAGGGGCAGGCTGCTTGCAGAGCAGGGTGGCATGTGGCTCACTGGAAAGCAGCAAGAAGAACCTTTCAGATGTTATGTAAACAGTGCACTGAACAAAGGTTGCTACTGCTCCTGCAACCAGTAGGTGATCTCTGAACTCTTACTGGGTATAATTACGGTGCTAATATGGAAGTTAGATACATAGATTATTGAGAGATACTTAGATTATAAAAAATAAATGATAAATGATAGGAGATAGATAGATAGATGATAGATAGATAATAGATAGATGATAGATAGATAGATAGATAGATAGATAGAAAGATAGATAGATAGATAGATAGATAGATAGATAGATAGATAGATAGGAAAGGCAAGCAACAGATAGATACGTTGATGCAGACGACATTGTCATGGTTTTTTGCAAAGATGATCATCTGGTCCCTTAGCTTTTCCATATCATCATCCAGCTCCAATTACGGGACAATTATAAAAAATAGTAATCTCTGTTCACAGGACTCTGGAGTACACTCTGTTCTTCAAATGGAGATAACCCAACTATGCTCACCTAACAAATGCATACCATTCGATAAAGAAATATTTACTTCAATTTTTTCAAAAGCTGTGTTTTAAAAGAAGACCACTCAAAACTAACTCTGACCTTTGTGCCAGTCAAATCAAGAGATCTCACTTGACTAAACAAGTCTTAAGAAGCAAAAGTGGGAGGGGGCGGGTCAAGAGGTGGCTCAGTCTATGAAGTCCCTGCTGTGTAGCCTGGAGACCTACATTTTGCTATGTAACCCAGTGGCTATGGAGGAGAGCCCAGCAGATCTCTGAAGCCGATCAGCCTAGCTCAGTCATCAGGTGTCAGGATCGGGGAAAGACCCCATCTCAAGAAGCAAAGGTGGGGAGCAAATGAGAAAGGACACCTGGCATCAATCTACAGCCTCCACATTCACACACACCTACACGGAGACAATTATGTCAAAAACAGGCAAATAAAACAGAAAAGAATGGTATTAGATGCTCTAAAGGTTTGTGGATGAAGGGGTACGCAGCACCACTAGATAAAATGTCGCTTGCCCCGGGGAAGGGAAAACAAAAGCTGCGTGCCATCAGAAGATGCTCATTATTAAATAGCCTGCAGATGTGAAAAGGATGCTGCTAATGGCAAGCCTGAATCCTCTTCTGAAAAAAAGCAGACACTTTAGTCGGCTTCTGAACTCACGTCTTGCTCCACAATCATGGCAACTGTTGCACTGCCAGCCAAAAGGAAATGGCAAAATGCATCAATTAAGAACGATTTCAGGGACTGGGTGCACAGCTCAGTCAGTCACTTGGTTGCTTGCTATGCAAGCTGAGGACCTCAGTTTCAGTCCCTAGGACGCACATAAAAACCCAGGGATGGTGGTATACATGGTAGTATATGACTGAAATCTGTGTGCTGGGAGGGTGAAAACAGAGGGTCCTTGGAGCTCAAGGGCCAGACAAACAGTCTGGCTGTCTCAAGAATTAAAGTAAGAGAGTTAAAAAAAAAAAAACATACTGAACATCAATCTATGGCCTCAACGTAGGAACATACATATACGCTGGTGCACACACATACGCACACATGAGAGTGCACGCACGCGCATGTGCACACACACACACACAAATAACCTGGGTGGTGTTAGCTGGCTAGTCAGTCAACCTAGCCAAAACGGATATTTAAGATTCAGTTAGGGACCCTGTATCCTAAAGTAGAGAGACTCGATTAAGGAAGACTTCCTGATATTCACCTCTGTCTCTCACATGTGCAAATGGAGAGTCAACACACGCACACCCACACTGAAGCACACCGGAATACCGCTGTGAAAAGGATACAAGCCCAGTATCGACCCTTCTCACACCAACAACTCATAGAGAAACTCCCATACCTATAATTTTTTTAAAAACAAAAAAAATCTAAGAAACTATCAAAACAGGTTTTCCTTTTGAAAGAAGCCCAGCCACATATTTTCATTTGCCTGGGGCAGCGCAGGCTGAGGAAGCTAAAAATACTTTCTTTTCTTCTAAGTTTGGAAGAACAAATCAGACCAAGCAAAGAGCTGCATATCATTTTCCCCAATCTTAAAAGTCTTACTAGAAAACGCTCTGCACAGCTGGACTAAGGCAAAGGCATCTGTTTTGTGTGCGCACACACATCCACTGTCAGAAAGACCCCTCTGGCTTATCCGCCCAGGAAGATCCAATAAGCCATATTTGTACTATCAACAGGGACGGTCATCATTTGACTGATTAGGTAGGGTGGTTATTTCTCGCTTCCTTTGTGTTGGAGAGAGAGTTCCATAAGGGCTGAAAACAAACCAGCGGGACAGGTAAAAGCATTTATAAAAACATATACAATGAGCAGTATGTCCTCTCCAGAGTCCCAAAGCGCTGACCCGCACTCACTCACGAATCATTTGGGCCCTGAGAATTCGCATTCGATGAGATTTTTTAAAATAGAAGGATCCAAGCTTCGGACATCTTGCACAAGTTGTGTCTTCCCGAGGCTGGCAAAGTGAAACGCTATGTTTCTTCTATCCGACTTCCCCAAGCTGACTGTAAAACACACGTGTGCATCCAAGCATACCCACACACAGAGCTCTGTGATCACCTAAATACAATACAAGATAGCCAGTTCCATTCACCGGCCACTAGTGCACTGCCCCCCCCTTTTTTTTTCTTGAAAAGGAGAACCAGTTAGCAAATGTGTGTGCAACTCTCCATATCTACAAACCAGAGCTTGCCTCTTGGGAAAGAGTTGGCAGATGTGGCAGGAGGGCTATTTGCCCAGAATGCAGCTGGGCCTTTGACAAGTGCTTCTGGTAAAATACCCTGTCTTGTATGCACACAAATCCCCCCCCCCCAGCCCCAAGCCAGGCAGGGTTGGTGCTGTGGATTTTTTCAAAAAGAACTCCTGGAAGGAAGAAGGAAAACCGGGATGTCACCTCTCCACAACACACCCAGAGGCCAGCAGCCCCGGGTTGTTGTTCCGGAAGGTCACTGGGTGGTACCTGCCAAGCCAAGCTACTTTCCCAGCCCAGCACTAGTGCGGAGCGAAGTTGACCACGCGCGTCCCCTTAACTGAACTGTACCTTGCAATTGGGCAGAGAGTGAGTCTTGGTGCTGCTGATACTTGAGCGCCACCGCCTCAGCTTTGCGCAGCTGGGTCTGCAGTTCCAAGTAGAGCATCGCGCCATAGAGAAAGCCGAAGATCACCGTGAGTAGCAGCAGCGTCTGGAAGATCCGCTTCTGCTTTCGGGAGCACATCCCGTTTCCCATAGTCCCTCCTGCGCCCCGCGCTGCGGCGGCGGCGAGCGCCGTCGTGTCCTCGGTCCTCGGCTGAGTCGGGCGGCTCAGCAGCGGCCACCGCGGGAAGTAGCCGGACTTGGCATGAGCAGAAGATGCAAGACACAAAAAGCGGGGCCGGAGGGGAAGAGGCGGCTGCTCAGCCCCCGCGTACGGCGGGGCGCCAGGCCATCGACGCCACCCGGGCAGCGGCCACCAAACTTCTGGGACGTCAAATCTCCGCGAGTGGCTGGGCCCGCGTGGGGTCGCTTTGCATACTTCAGAGCCCGCTGCCCTTGCCGCCAGTCCCCACGCGCCGCCTACCCTGCTTTCCTTCCTCCACACTTCTTGGCCTCGCCGTCCCCACCGTCTGTCCCCGCCCCTCGCGCCGGCTCCCGCGGCTGGACTTTGTCGCTACCACTGGTAGGGGGACGCGCGCCCAACAAAGGGACCTGGTTCCCTGAGGCGTCCCCGCGCAAGGTCCTCCTCGGAGGGTGGAGAGATGGGGACAGGTTGCTCTGGTCGGGTTAGGAGGGGGCCGGTGGGCCGGTGTCACTGATCTGGCAGCTCCAGCGGTCCGCCACCTCCCACCCAACTTACGTGTCACCCACGGCCCCGCTATCATGGCCAACGGGATTCCGGGAGGAAGTCCCACTCGGGCTCCCAGCTCATTGGGCCCGCGCGAGCCGCCGCTCCCTCCTTTCGGGGAGCCAATGCTGGGCTCCATTGGACGCCAGCTTTGTCTGTCCCGCCCAGGGCCGCGCCTTCCCTCTCTGCTCCGGGCAGGCCCTGGACTCCGTGGGCCGCGCGGCTGCCTGGCGCCTGGGTGCGCCCACGTGGAGCCCGGGTGGGTGGGGATAGGCGGAGGAGCCGGCCTGGGAGTGCTGGGGACTTGTCCTGGCCTGAGGCTTGGGGATGGTCATTGGGCACGTGTGCACGTGTGTGCATATGTGTCCCAGAACTTGAAATGCACGTGGAGAAAGAATACAGCGCTTACACACTCCGAGGACAGCAAACAGCAGGGCATGCGCTCTGCTAAGTCCTGCTCACTTTTTAGCCTACAGAACGAGCTCAGGTTGCAGACACAATGTTCTTTGCAAAATAGACACAATCTCTCCAGGGCTACCTACTGAGACTTCTCCTGTCAGGGAGACTAGCCTGCCTTCATAGATGATAGGAAGCAAGCTGGAGCCCCTGAAACTCACTTGACTGTCCTCGCGGGATGGGGAAATCACTTTGTTGGCAGAGAGAAAGAAATGATCTCATATGTTTCCTCTGGCTTCAAATGGAATAATTTAAAAACAAATCTTACAGGGCTGAAATGAGTATGCATTCATTTTTGCTATGTGTATTTCTCGTAATGGTGGCAGAAATACATCAGTTACATTTTAAAATTACATCTTCGAGGCCAACAAAAGACCGTAACTGGAGAAGTTAGACAACATAATAACTCCAAACCACTTCTATCCAAACCACTTCTAAGAAATCCATGGTGCGTTTGTTTCTTCCATGTAATGAGAGGGGGTATGGAATTGAGGTTATGCATAAGTGATAGTTTTGTTTCCTCTCTTGACCTGAATTCTAAGGGAAATGCATTATTTCTGAGAAGAATCAGCAATGCAGTAGCGCTTATTACATTCGGCATAATTTTCGTGATGCCCTGACTGGGTTTTCGTCATCACCATCAATTATGGGGAATGAATGTTTAAGATGAAGGAAGATCTGCTTATGCCAGGTTCATTTTAAAGACAGTCCCTGTCCTGGATGTTTTTAGGTCAACTCTGAAATCATCAGTTAACAAGAGCCACTCAGGCAGACTGGGGCATTTATCTCATCGTGAAACATAAGCAGGATTGGTATGTACACTTAGCTAATAAAAAAAAATCACATCACGGTTTTCAAAACGCTTACGCTGATAGCCCAGGACATTCAATCTACACACTGGAAACAAAGAAACCCAATTTGATCATGCTGACTCTAAATAGTTCTAGGACTTTCTAGGCCTTATAAAAACGAAGTTGCTCACAATAGGAGAACCAATCAGAATCTTACCCACTTCATCTTGTTCTGTAGAAACCAAGTCATCATTCCAATTAAACATGTCATCAAGAACTACATTCTGTTAAAACGTGAATCTATGCCAGGCCTGGTGCTATAAACCAGCTACTGGGGAGATCAAGGCAACAGGATTCCAAGGTCGATCCAGACGAAATTAGAGAGACCATGTTTCAAATCAAAAGTGGAAAAAATAGACATAGGGATGACAGCTTATTGTTAGGACACTTAACCTACCATGTAGTTGACAGTGAGTTCAATCCCCAGTCCCAGGAAAAAGGAAAAAAAATGCCCAATTTAAAAAGAAAGTAGACAAAAGAAGCTAAGTTTTGTTTCATGGTCTTGGTATCCTCTCACAGACATGGGTCTTAGGGGCCTTACCACTGTTTATGGCTTCCTCTTTCTGTTTTACTCACAGAAATTGAAAGTAATTAGTAGGATTCCTTTAGAGTCCCTCAGAACTCAATTCACTCATAAGCTGTGAAAGATTCCTGTGCAAACTTCCCCGAAGGAAATGAAATTTTCAGCAATAATCATAGCCTGTACTCGAACATGAGATTCATTGTGGACACGCATGCACATACAGATGACTGCTATGGTGGAAAGGCATGGTAAGTCGGCTTACAAATTACACGACACATGGTATCCAGTTCAATGTCCAGCCTTTGGAAACTCATGAATTCACAATCACTCATTTTAAACCTCAGACTTGTGAGCATCAGCTTCATTCCACTTTCTTGAGGTCTTCTTTGCCTACAGCAGACAACTTATTCTACAGAATCTAATAAATCAAGGCCATAAAACACAACTCAATATTTTAGTCATAAAATTTGAAAGAGAAGGAAGTTATTACATCAACTTATCCATTATTTCAAATTCAAGAAGGGTTTTCAGGAGAACATAAAGTCACTAATGGCAGTGTCTTTTTAATATTACATTTTCAAGGTGAACATTGCCTCTGGATTCTTGAATATATAAGTATAGCACTTTTGAGTAGCTAACATGGGAGGCATTCGGGGCCTATAAATTAAATTTACATAGCACTGCCTTTGGGTAGAGTTTATAATATATGAGCTATTTACACTGGTCTCGGAAGGTCTGTTGTTAGTTGTATTTTATTTTGTTTCTTTATCATTTAAAAGAACAACCTTTCATAATTAAATGTTATATAGTTCATATGTTATATAGTTCACAGTGTGTGCGTATAATTAGGAAATCACAAATACCCAGGGATTTCTTCCATTTAGCATTTTGTTTCTAAGACAGGAAAAAGACAACCAGAACCTCACATCCCAGAAGAGTTAAGATAGCATTTGAGAACATTAGCATATTCTCTGACTCAAAGGAAGATGTTCAAATTTGCTTATGTTCCAAAGAGGGGAAGTTAAGAAAAATAAATTTGACATAAGCAGGTAATGCATACTTTGGAACAATCTAACTAACATTATTAATGTAGAATGAGCAATCGGCTTTCGTGAAAACTTGTATTGAAATATCTTTACTACAAATAAAATTCAATCTATTTTAATTTATTGGAGAAACAACATCCAAATGAGTGCTGAGTATTAAACTATGAAATGATGAGCTCAGGCTATGGGTTGGGGTGGGAATGCTCATCTAGCATGTGCAAACCGGGGGGCTCAACGTCTAGCATTTACATTTCCTAGTTTAATTGGAAACTTGCCATCTGAGAGGAAAATCTAGTAAAGTGTGGACAGGTTTATGGAGGATTGTCTCTCTTGATTATTGATGCAGGACAGTGCAGCCCATACGGACTGCAGCATCCCCACAAAGATTGTCTCGTGTAAGGTGGCCAGTGGGCAACGCAGCAAGCAGAGCCCCGTTACGGGTTTTGCCTTACGTTCTTTCCCTGACTTCCCTCAGTGATGGCTTATGACCTGGAAGTATAAACCACTTCTTCCCCAAAGTTGCTATTGGCTGGAGTGTTTTTATCACAACAGATAAAGGATACTAGGACAGTAAATAAAGAGCTGATAGTCCCATCAACAAAATGTAAAATGGCCTTAAAGCGTCAATAACTCACAGTTTGTTCTGTGTCGTGTAACAGTTACAGAAATAACTCTCCTCTGTGTCTTACAGGAACTTGCACCCTGTGTCTCATTGCTTTTTTTTTTTTTTTATTTTTGCCACTTCACCCATTTGCTGACTCCTAATTAGTACATCCACCTCACTTCTTGTCACCCTTAAGACCTGTGCTAGGAATAAAGACATTCTGTCATTTTTGAGGGTTCCGTGAGAAATACATTGAAACTCCTTTTTCTCAAGGTTTCATTAATGACCTGGAAGTAAACGTCAGTAGATTAATGAAGCAAGAAGGTAGGCATGGGACCGGGGCATAACTAAATCGTTTACCCCACTTGGCGTGTCTTGGTGCCCTTCCTTAGGCCTGCGTACTAAGTGGCCATCTATGCGATTTTTAACTGTGTGAGGAGTTAAAGGAGGACAAAGGAGTAAATGGGCAATCAGTTCTTATAAGTTGAATCCTTACCAATAGCAAACAGGACCAGAAAGATTGCTCAGTGGGCTAAAGCTTTTCTCATGCAGGGACTGGGCACTTAGCTCTGGAGTCGAGAACCTATATAAAATCAGTAGGATCTGCACCCCTACACTGAGTTGGCATGTAAAGACAGGAAGTTCCCCAGCTCACAGGCTTAACCTGGCTTAGGCAGGTACAAAAACGAGACCCTGTTTCAAACCTGGTGAAAGAGGAGGACTGGCCCTTACGGTTGTCCCCTGGCCTCTTCATGTACACTATGGAACCCAATTACATACATCCCACCTCACCCCAACACGCACAAAGAACATTGTGGGAAGTGTGGTAAACAGCTAAACTCTATTACTAGACCTAGAACTAGAGAAAAAACAAGCAATGATTTTGTAACACAGGGCTTGACTGTTTCTTTTTATTATTATTAAGA